CCTGCCCCTGCCCCTGCCCCTGCGAAGGGTCCGGTTCGGTGGCCACACAGTGGTCCCGGAACACAGTGGGCACCGCTGGGCTGCATGTGAGTTTTAGGAACGGGTGTCATTGTTACTCCACTGAGAGAACACCGGGGAATCTTCTCGAAGGTGAGGACAAAAGACATGCTTTTCCGGGGTAAAGAAAAACAATATATGTATGTCACCTTGGGAATTTTAATCGTAGGTAAAATTTGGTTGGTGGGTTCACAGAATAGTTCACCTCTACATTTTCTAAAGAGTATTTTTGATATGTTAAAATATTAAAGAATGCTCATCTGGAATTTTATATAAAAACGGAACATTTCTATGTTTTAGAGCTCAGCCTAGAATTTAGGAGCATAATAACCACATTTCTAAAACATCGGTAGGTAAAAGAAAAATACTTATCCTTATTTTACAAATTTTATATTCTCTCTTTTCCTAGGCTAGTACAGTTTTTTTTTTTAAATTTGAAATCATAGATACTGTAATCTCAAGTCACATTTAAGAGATCAGTACAAACCACAGATTGCTTCACCAGGGAACATGGAAGGTTGTTTACAAGGATGCTAATTTTTACAGCTTTTTTTATGCTGCTATAAAGCATAACTTTATGATGTAGGAATGCAATAAAAGATGCTAAATGGAATCTTCAAAAATTGTATTTCTCAAAAGCAAGGGAAATGGGATCTTTCATTTGAAAAAAAATGAGCCAACTTAGAACACTGATGAGAAGTTACAAATCAACTGAAGTGATAGATGCTTTCAAAAATACTTATATTTCATAATATAGTGGTTAGTTATCAGTATTAGAATGAAAAAGTACAGTTTTTCACTTGACCTGACTCTGGAATAATATTTGTTTCTATGGCAATAGATTTTTGTATTAAGAATGCTGAACAGTTTAATGTCATATGTACTAATAGCATAAGGGAAGGCAACCTGGCCTAAATTGTTAAAGCTGACAGCAATGGTAAAAAACAGAGAATAGGAATCTCATTCACAAGCCTGAACAATTTCAGCAGTTTGAGGAAGAAAAAAAAAAACACTTAACAGAATAATACTTCATATTATTTTTTACTACTTATCAGCAGCAATTCTGATTCAAAACTGTTAAAGTTATAATAAGAAGCAATTACATTCAGTAAGGGAATAAAGACAGTAATGATGAATAATATCAGAACACAAGGTAGATAAGTCAACATGGTAGATGTCCTACCTCTAATGAATTGTACTTTTTGCTAAGTAGCCTGTTTGGCATTGAAGACCGTCACCAATGCTAAGTAGAAGAAGTCAAAGTCTATTATGATGTAGCTGTATGATTGATTTATTTGAATACATATAGTCATCCTTGTATCTTTATGTTCTCCTTAATATTGGCACTAAATATCACACGTGGCATTAAGTGATAGCATTTAATAATGTGGCACTTAGTGTACCTTTTGTTGATGGTGGAAGAACTAGGATATAGGAATTCAACCTGCTAAAGATGAGGTTAGGTATTGAATACAAAATGGGACACAGAGCAGTTTCAGTAAATCAAGGTAGATGTGAATGGAGAACACAGAAGAAATTCTAACTTTGGGGCAATTGATGTTTAAAGCCCTCAATGACTGCTTCCCCTGAAAATGAAAATGTTTTTAATTTGTGTTGTGCAGTTTACATTTTAATTTTTAGAATAAAGAAAAAACTTAGCCCACGAAGATGTCTTCTAGTAATGGCAGTAGTTAACCTGTCAGTTGAAAGAATGTAACCTTCCTTTTCTCCTTTTCATGACATAAAGGTAATCTCATCTGAGGGCATTTATGTGAAGAAATAACAGCATGGCATGGTGAAAAGACTGGCTCATTAATCCTGGCATCTACTTCCTACAGGGTTCCTTGATTAGTTAGATTCATTCATCGGGCATTTCGGAGTTTTTGATTTGTCACCATTGGATAGGTTCACTGATAAAAAGGCTAAATTGAGCCAGAAGCAATGTTTATTAGTAATTTTGTAGTACAGGCTATCCTAATAATTCAGCCCAAATATCTCATCTGAAAAATATCCATTCACCCTCGCTTCTAATGTGGGTTGCAGCTGTGTTCATAGGGAATTGAAAGAACACAAGTGATTGGGCATGTATTTTCTAAATTATTAATATGATGGCTAATAGCTATAAACCCATCTT